AACTAACACTTTTAACACTATGTAATTAAAAAACTAAAAAACGTAGGACTGTTTTCGGAAGTGAAGTAGAATTTTGTATTGTACAATAGATTAAAAATATCTCCTTGTAAGTAATACCTAGGTTTCGGAAAGAGCCACCAATCTTTATCAATACCTTCGGTTTTTGTGTGGGGATATTCTCTCCTGTGAAAAAAAAAACTCTTTTTGCCCAAGTGAGGAGATCGTGGCTCTTTCCGAAACCTAGGTCTACCTTACCCCCTGGTAAGCACTAACATCTTTCACCACTAATAAATAAACGCTCTTTTTATAAAAACAACAATAATGGGATTAAACCTAGCTATTTTGTAAAACAAAGAACTACGGTATCGCGAATAAACATGCCAACATTGTTCTACAGATTAATAACATTTATTCCAAAAGACAAATTTAATTTGGTGATTTCATCCCTCTGTGCCGCGTTTGGAAAACGTACAATTTGTAAAATTTTAGTAAAATATGTGAATTTTTTCAGTTATTCAATTTACTAAAATATTTTCCAAAATGTCTGTCTGTTTGGCTGGCTGGTGCGTACTACAATTCTCGAATTTGAAGAAGGACAATATTGACCCAGTCCTTCCCCTTCTAGGGTGAGGATTGTGTACATAGGTCCACTGCTGTGGACAACACAGTTAAATATAGATAAAAATAAGGTGAGTTGCTACAAATACCGCGCCCATAATATTATTTTCATCAGACTCGACCCAATCTTTATAGTACTTTCCCACAAATAATCAAAACATTGATTAAAAAAATATATCCAAAATTGAAAATCTCTTTATAAACTCACCTCCTTTTTTCTATTTTCTAATCATTCGTACATTGTATTTCCAGCTCCCCCAAAAATATAAATTGTTCAATCAACATTATTGTTATTTCATTGAAACCTTTGGGGCATTGTTTCATTGTTGCTACTGCTGCTGTTTCTTAATGCAGCAGGCAACATTGCTGATAATTTATGGATGTTGTGAAAGGGCATTTGGCCAGAAGGAGGCACAGCCCCCGAGTACTGCAATGCAATTTGTAAAGATGTATTAAAGACGGAAGAAAGAAAATGTCTAACCACAATTTAAGTAATTAAATTTTTTTTTTCTTTTAATTAAAGACAATTACTTTAAGAATAAAAATGTTTGCAAAATTAAATGTTAAACTAATTGGAAGTTAATTAAGTGTTTTCATAACATTATTGTCAATAATTACTGTATAATAATTGTGGTTTTTATTTGAATATTTTCAGTGCAAATTTATGAAAAATTATTTACTTAATTAGTTGAAATTTTTCATGGTTGCGTATATTATAGATATTTGATGTGTAGACAATAATTAACCACAATCAAATGTCTGCACAGTTAAAAGTGTCATTGTATGGTCATAATTTACCTTCAAAAACAATAATGTATTATTAAGAAATGTTGGATTGAATGTGGGGTGGTGGCAAAAGATGTCGGAAATAGCATCAAATTTTAGAATAAGTTTTGATTTATTCGAATTGGTCACCTTTGGCACGAATTATGGCCTTCAAACGGCCGAAGAAACCGTCACACGCTGACCGAATGTTGCTCTGCGGTATATTGGCCCATTCCCGCCGAAACGCTTGCTTGAGGTGATCGACAATTTGATATTTTTTATGCAACCTTGCTTCCTAAAATACTTAAAACACAATAATTCAAAGGATTGATATCCGGAGTGGGCATTGTGCGCTGGAAACGAAGCGAGGAACCTCATTTTGCAACCATTCTTGGGTGGCGCTTGCCGAGTGCGATGGTGCTGAGTCCTGTTTGAATGCCCAAGGTCTGCGTCCAAAATGTTTGCGTGCCCAAGGCTTTAATACACCCTCCATAATATTTTTGAGATAATATTCGGCATTTGTTCTGATGCCACGGTCGATTAATACAAGCGGCTGTTATGGCGGCCCACACCATTACCATGGATGGCGCTTGAGTTCTGGTGGCCAACCGAAGGTGCACATTTTCAGCTGACCTCTTTGGCAAGTAAACACGATCATTTTGTTTGTTTACAAACTGCAGGACAGCGAATGTATTTTCATCGGAGAAACCAAATTCGGCAGTTCACCACTTTCGGCCAAGCTCTTTTGAGTCTATTTTCATTCTGTTGCGGTATAAGTTCTTGCACTTTTTGGAATTTCAATGGCTTTACTCCGAGCTCATTTTTAAATAATTGCCGAATGAAATATTGCGATATATTGAGTTCACAAGCCATTTTTCGGCAACTGCGACGCGGGTTTCGAATTAGTCGCTTCTCTACTTTTCTAACCATTTTTGATGTTTGCTGTTTTCTCCCGTCCACTTCCTTGACGTCGATTTGCGCTACCAAAACTAGTAACGAGCGACGGTACTGGACACAAAAAATTTATTCGCATTTAAATGCTATAGTGCTCTAACGATAAATAGAAATCGCACTATCACGCTTGAATTCCATCACGAATAACTTTTTTCCTAGAAAATTCTCAGCAAAATGATTTTGTGCGCTTGTAAACAATATAATGAGTTGTCACAGAAATAATTTTAACTGCTTTTGAACGAGTGGCTTTGAAATGATAGCAGTCTGAAATTTATTGCAGTTTTTTCATCTCACCCTGTATTATGGTATAGTCTCCATCTAACGGTACTTACCAGGTCATATCTTATTGGATTAATGTGGTCCATTTTACAACCAATATTCTCTTTTAAGGTACGTCTATATGAGGACTATACCAGAGAATGAAAAGTTGGTCTTTGAATTCTGAAACCTTTAAAGTGTTGTCTGTAATTACCCAATACAATTACTTCCACTTAGAATTTCTCAACCCCCAGACAATATTGGTCGGAAACGTAGACGTGTCGTGAAGGGAAATGGGAACTATACCAAAATATATACATATATGATTTTGATCTACCACCTCCCTCAGATTGGCTGTTGTACAGTGCTATCGGCGGATAACGTCGTATATAGAGGTATATGAAATGGTGGATCTGGATAGAATAGTCTCTACTACAGACAGGAGGGCATATTGCGAACCCCACATACCATGAGAGAATTTCGTTGCATTATGTAACAAAAATTAGCCAAATGCACAAAATTCAAGGAGTAGGTACAGTTATATGGAGGACATTCGAAATCGTGGTGGACTTATATGGACATTTCTTTGCAAGGTAGAGAACATAAACTTCATATTTAAGGCAAATAAAAACAAGTAAGCAAAGGCTATAGTCGTGCGGGACCTATATATATTATTATATATATTATACCCTACAACACTACAATATGTTAGAAGCCCCCTTATGTCCAAATCCATAGTGAAAGATTTCGCTTTTGAAATTAGGATTTTGACTAGGGACATTTGCATAATATTTCTGCACTCCGTCGGGCTGCTAGTTGTTGTAGTCCATTTTACAGCTAAATATAATCCAATGGTCATCCAAAATTCTAGAATTCTTCCCTGTTCTTAACTCACTTCACAGGCGTGTCGATTGGCTTCAATAGTGTGATCGGAAAAATATTCTGTTTTTTGTTAATTTGAACCCCCAAATATTTTGCAATCATCCCCAAAAGCAAGAAGTCCCTCCGTATCTCCAAATTTAGACTCATCTATATGATTTGCTTGTCTACAATATTTGGCTATATTCGTCAACGAAATCAGCATAAAAACGCCAGAAGTTCGCCTTTTGTGTATTTCGGATTTCGCCCTTAAGTAATGCTGGTATTTTTTCACACAAAATTCGTGGTCCATTATACCCGCTGTCCTGAACTCTAACTTTAAGCGAGATTTCGTGTCCTTTGGTTCCTATTTGTGACCTTTATAACGGTCCATTTTAACCCCTAATATATTGCGGACATCTTTGAAAATAATAGGCCTAGCCTTTCTGAGCCCAACCCTACCCTTGTGAAAATTTTCGTGAGGATCGGACGATATTTGCAGACTGTATATAATAACCAAAACCTGTGTTGTAAATTAAAAAAATATTACAAAATATACACTTCAATATTATAAGCCAAAATGAAAAAATCGCATGCCATAAAATTTATGAAAAAATATAAAAAAAGTCACAAAATACTACAAAATCTATAAAAACATCATTATTAGCATTTTTTCTGCATTTTTTTTTTTTTAGATTTTATTTTGATTTGTGATTTCGTCGGGATTAAAAATATCGCGGTTTAATGGAAATTTGACTTTTATTTAACACAAATGTTGTGGTCTATTTCACCCACTATATATTACCCGATGACCATCAAAATTGGAAGGCTTCTGTCCAGCCCTAAGCCCTAGTCCCATGCTAACTTCCGCGTCGATTGGTCAATAATTGCGACCTGTAGAGCAATTGCAAAATCATGAAATTTTTCAGTTTTTGGTCAATTTCAACCCCTAAATATTATGCGATCAAATAGGGTTCTATTCTTACCCTAGCCCCACCTCCATTCTAAATTTCGTGAAGATCAGACCATAATTGCGACCTGTAGAGTGATTACAAATTAACATGGACAGACGGACGGACGGACATACCTAGCTAGATCGACTCAGTTCGGCGAGATAGGAAGATCCATATATACTTTCCTATGTGGAAAACCAATATTTCGAGGTGTTAAATAATTTTTGGCCCAATCAAACTTATAATACCCCCAACACATAGTGTTGTAGGGTATAAAAATAAACTAACAAAAGGAATTTGTAATTTCTTTCTTGAAATAAATCGGCTTTCTTAAATATATTCCAGCTCTTTAATATAAATAAACGATTTGTGTTATTTGAATACATTTTTCTATTATTGCCACATTATCAATATAAAAGACGAATTCAGTAAACTATACAACTTTTAAAACATAAAAAAGTTGGAAATTTAGTTGGAAATGAGCTTACGCATAAAAAATATACTTAACAGTAAACGAAAAAGCAATGACAGCAAAATCAAAAAATTTTATTTCAAAATCAAAAATATTAAAAATAGAATTATATTTTCATTTATTTCATATTAAATTTATTCACTTATTAAGCGATGTGAATTGATAGCGATCTGATTCAAAAGAGAAACGCACCAATAGCGCCTTCAATAAGATTATGTTAAACTGAGAGCATCAGCAGAATACATTTAAATGTGATCCGCACATTCCTTGGAAGTCTTCATGCAAGGAGAATGGTGGAATTAATAGAGGAAAGGCGGAAAAACAAAATATCGAAAAGAAAACTGGCTCGAGAACCATCGCTGGTAAGTTGAGTTTTCGTATAGCATACGTTTTCATTGTTGGAATGATGGTAAATGTAACTAGAATGTCTGCGAATGTCATTTCTATATGTCTTCTTTCAGACAAATTATATATATCAATAAGAGATAAATGACCAGTTAAGATTAATTAAAGAACGGTAGTTTCTCAGATTTCGTCATTTAGATTTACATACGATTTGTTGCAAAATATCAAGATATTCGATATCCTGTTTGACTGATAGTCTGCTAGGAACCCCTCGGACCAATTGTTATCCAAATTATTTCCTTGAGAACTATTTAACTCAGGGCCGTGAGAAAAGATTTCAGAAAATATTAAGAGGAACCTTGTATGTACCGTGGTTAGCTTTTCTTTGGAAGAAAGTGTTTTATACCACAATTTCAAACCATTGGCAATTCGAAGGATTTATATTGGTTTCTTCAGAAGAATCCAAGTTCGACTCAAGTTTTTTTTTAGCAGGAAACGGTTTTTTTACATCTGTTTTCGTGCTGCTGTAGCCAAACGGTTTGATGGCTTCGAACGTTGAAATGGCAACTTCCAGTTGGCTGCACACCGATGTCTGCTGTTCAAATTCTTCTTGTTGCAACATAGGAATTTTATCGTGTTGTAGGCAAGTCCGCTATTATTATACCCTCCATCTTGGAAAGGAGGGTATATTAACTTTGTCATTCCGTTTGTAACATCCCTAAATATTCGTCGTTGACCCCATAAAGTAGACCCAGCATAAAATTCTAAGTCGATTTAACGATGTCCGTCTGTGTGTCTGTTCGTCTGTCTGTTGAAATCACGAATTTGTCTAAAAATTGGTATTTGTAGGCCATGATAAGTTCTAGCTCTTGTGGTGAAATATTGTGTGCACGTTTTGGTATAGCCCCATATAACGGTACCTCCCGATATTCGTTATTTTGATGATTCTTGCCACATTTTTTACGGATTAGTCTAAAAATTGGTATTTGTTGGTCATAAGGGATTCTAGCTCCAGTGCCGAAACATAGTATGCATAGGTTCAAGTTTTGTTATAGCTCCCATATAACGGTATCTCCAGATATTCGGTATTTTGATTATTTTTGCCACATTTTTCAAGGATTTGTTTAAAAATTGGTATTTGTGGGTCATAATGGGTTCTAGCTCATATGGCGAAACATTGTATGTATAGGCCTACTTTTTGTTATAGCCTCCATATAACGGTACCTGCCGATATTCGATATTTTGATAAAAATTGGTATTTATAGTTCATAGTGAGTTCTAGCCCTGTGGCAGCACATTGAATATTTAATACCACGTTTTGCTATAGCGCACATATAACGATACCCACCGATATTCGCTATTTTTATAATCCAAGTCCTATTTACCCAAGAAAATGTTTCATATTTGGTATTTTAGAAGATTTGAGTATTTAAAGTATAACATTTTCTATACAGTTCCCGTATTGGTATGTCCCCGTATAACGCCCCTAATCACTTCATGGTTTTTTGATAAGCTTAACTGAATTATCAAAATGGTCGTAGTGGTATATAAAGTTTATAGTGAAACACGCTTGAATGCAGATATTTTTCATAAAAATGCTTTCTTTACCCTAAGGTTGAGGGTATTAAAAGTTCGGCCCAGCCTTAATGTTTTTTGTATTGTTCCTAATACCCTATTTTTCAAGCCTTTTTAATAAATCTGCCAATATTATGACCAGTGTGAAGTTGGAATATATCGATTCAGTGGCATAGTAACATAGTCATAACTCGTATAAAATGAGAAATGAGTTTTCTACTTTCCCTGAACTTTGCGTGTATTTACATTTCAAACAAAATTTCATAATTTTCAATAGTGGAAAAAGTTTAAAATGTTTTATTTTTTTGGCAATTAACTTTATAGCTAAGGGTATATATAGCTATCGTATTGCGACTTTCTTACTTAATAATCTTTTATAAATTAATCTATTTTTTCAACCACCCAAAGATGTTCCACACGGAAATTCATTGACCCCGTAGTTATATGTTATATTTATGCGACCCAATCTATGCGTGATCAACAAAACCAACTTTTCTTTTATTAAAGCCAAAAAACCCAAAATTTAAATCTAATAATATTTCTTTGCAAAATTTTATCTCCAAAACTCAACTTAATTGAGAAACCACATGAAGGAGCGCGATCTGCAACGGTGGAGCATGCATGTGTGGCTTGTTAATGTAACTTTGCAGTTTCGCCTAATATGAAAGCTTTGCCGAAATCATCTTTGTTGAATCTAACTATCTGTGATGTGATGCGGTACACTTGCTTTCATTCATGTCACAGGCATTGGCCACACAAACCTCGGCAACCACACGGTACAACACACACACACACATATGTATACTATCTATACTAATACATACATATACGTATTAAAATCTATCTCGACTACCTCCCGCTCTCACATCACTAGCTTCTAGTCTCGTTTGCCATCAAAACAACAAGCGAATAAAAAGACATACATGAATGACTTTTAACGATAAGAAACACTTGCAACAACACATGCAACTTAAAGTTGCACATTAAATGACAACCCAACAACATGCGTCACTGCTTACAATTGCAATGGCTAGTTGGATGCTGAGCAAAAGCAGGGGTGGGTAGGAAAGGAGGGCCGTTTGTGATTTGTATGTGAATATTCGTGCTGTCCTTGTTATCCTAAATAACAATACTTGGTTATAGTAAACACCCACACACACACACTCACTGGACCATTCTCATAAAAGACACCCACCGCGCAGTGGTGTTTGCCATAATGACCAAAGAAATGCAAATGTATATGTGTGTCTGTGTGTGTGTTTGCTTCTCTGTTAATGTTTGTGGCTTTAAGTTGCTACTACCACTGCTGTTGTTGCTGCTGCTATTGCCATTCAGACAATCAACAAAAGCACTGGTTTGGCCAAAGAATGGTGATGGCGATGCAGACGCACTGAGATCGGGGAAGATAAGATAGTTTCATTTTGCAAATGAAAATGCATTTCAAAGTTAAGTGAAGCATAAACTACACACAACACTTTCGCGTTTCGTAAATGTTTTCGCCAAAAGAATAAATACACACCAACATAACCAGAAGCAAGTCAAAATGTAGCAAGATCGATGGAATGGGTCTACAGTCGTTTCTAAAGGAATGCGAAGACATTTTTCGTTTGGTAACGAGATATGTTGAATTATAGATTATAATTTAAATGCAAGGAAGTGATTATAGAGTCACGCAATAAAGAAGAAGTGAAATAACTGACTGAATCACTGATCTAGAATCAGCGCCCAGACTAAGCAGTTGCAGCTAAAATCTTGAAATTTTCGCATTTTACAAATTCGTACTAAAAGGGTATTAAATGTACTAAAAATTAAATACTTGGGCAAACGGAATGAGCTAGAATTCTGAAATTTGGAATAAGAGTCACTGAGTGCATTATAGATGTACAAAAGAGTTTTTGAAAATTCGAACTTAAATGTTACGAAAAGTTCCAAAAAACTACCACTTAGTAACATGTGAAGGGATAGAGTTAAAAACTTGAAAAGAGGAAAGAGGTTGGAATGTAAGTTTGTTATATGAAATTAGTTTTGGAATGAAGTTAGTTGTGCGAACTGTACTAAATGGTACTAAATTTGGAAGAGTTTGGTTTAGACTGTACGGATAAAGCTGGAATTTTTAATTTTTTCCCTTTGGTAGTGGGATTGTGATAAGGAGGTAATTTCGAAAATGTGTAATACTAGTGCACGAAAAGTACTAAATAGTACTATAATCGAACAATATTGATTGCCAGACCAAACTTCAAAAATACTTGAAATCGAGCATTATATAAGGACAAGAACCGAATTTTGTTCTCAAAATTTATAAAATCGACTGAAACCGTTTAAAGGATAAAGCCTTTCTCCACGCAGAACGACCAACACCCCGAATTTATTGGCCGCATCAAATGATACATACCTTCATGATTTTAACTCCGAATGGCGGAAGGTACCTGGGGTAAGGTAGGTCGAAATTTGTATATCACCAAATATTTGTTATTCCTTTTGCGACTTTTTGAAATATTCATTAAAGACCCAACAATTTTACGACAATCAGGAATAGTGCATTCATTCCTGATTTTTGGAAAATTTAAACAATTTGTGGTAGATCTCTAATGGATCTACCTTAATGACAACAATTTTGAATAGAAAGATATCTCCTAATATTTGGTATTTTGATTATTGTAGTAATATGTATCATTGGAATTGTGGGAAATTCAGTATAATTGAAGTTCCGATATTCGGTATTTTCGTGATATTAGCGGCATTTATTTGAAGTTGGTAGTCAAAGATCTCAATGGTCAATACCTTACGTGACAGAAAATGTACTATATAAGTCTAAGCTTGTCTATAGCCCCATCGTATGTCGATAATATTAGCCCAAATTTTAGACGTAATATAAGGGAAATTCCAGTTGTTTGGTATTTCGATCATCCTCTTGCTGAAAATCGTAGATTCAGCTTAAAGTTATAATATTGTCTCCATATAACGGTATCTCCCCAGTTCAGTTATTTCCATAAATAACTTTCGTGTCAAAATTGACCTTTTTAGGCTGAAAACCGATTTGGGCGTTTTCACTCAGGGTGAAACTTGTTCCCGAGCGGGATTGTTTGAAGAGGGGAAGTCTCGTTTTCGAACGAATTTTGCTCCCACTCTTAAACGAGCAAAGCATGCTCGTCATAAACACAGTTTGCTTGTTTTGGTTTTTATACCCCTAAGAGTGCAAACCTACATATACAGAGGAAACCTCACTGAAGTTATTTAAATACATGATATAACCCACTCGCTCACACCGTGCATTATTCTCAGACAATTGTTACTGTAATCATTACGCTGCAATAAATCTCTTTCCGTTTTTCTCGTATTGACTGTTTTGCAGTTTTGGTTTGGTTTCATTCCCAATTTGTTATCATATAACTTTTGCATTTGGTTGCTGGCATGCATGTGCATGCTTAGTTGATATTTGTCG